TACCCCTGAATCCAAACCCCCCAAATCCATACCCTCAAATCCATCCCTGGAATCCTCACCCTTGAATTCATATCGTCAATTCTGTGCCCTCAATTCCATCCCCTCAATTCCATCCCCATAAATCCATGTCCTCAGGTCTGTATTCAAATCCATCCCCCAAATCCATCCCTCAAATCCATACCCTTAAATTCATATCCTCAATTCCACACCCTCAAATCCATCCCTTCCACCCTGAGCCATTCCCAACCACAACCCCGTCTCTTCCCTGTCTCCTGGACACACCTGGGCACACCTGGAGACATTTGAGAGCTGGATTTTCCCCCCAAACCTCCCATGGCCCTGCTCTGCTTCCCTGGAACCACTCACTGGAAACCTGGAGGTGGATTTTGCTGGAAAGGGCGGTGCCGTAGTCGTTCCTGGCGAAGCACTGGTACTCGCCCTCGTAGTCATCGGGCCGGCCCCCGCTGTGGAAGTCGATGACCAAAGTCCCCGATCTCCTCCTCATGGACACCTTGGGATCCTTGGCCACGTTGAAGAACTTCCCGTTCCGGGTCCAGGAGAAGCTGGAATGGCAAGGAAAAGCTGGGTTTGGAACCGTGTCCCCAAGGAGGTCCCTAGCTGTGGTGGGGCAGTGGTGGGATGGATTTGGAGGGAGGGTGGGAGAGGCTCTGGAGCCGTGAGGGACAGCGGGATGAGCTGGGCAGGGAGGGTGGGAGAGGCTCTGGAGTGACAAGGGACGGTGGGATGAATGTTGGGAATGCACTCACATGGGAACGGGGTTGCCTTTGGCTTCGCATTCGATGAAGATGTTATCCCTGGGATCCACGATGTAATCCTTGATGGATTGCTTGGTGATCGTGGGGGGCTGCGGCACTGTGAGGAACGGGAAACCCGTGAGGAACTGGGGGAGATCCTTCAGTGCCATCCCACAGCAGTTCCTGCTGGGATCTCAGCTCCTTCCCCCAGCCGGGTGTGTGATTTGGAGGTGGAATCCTGAGGAAATTCCTGCGAATTCCCTGAATTCCACCTCTCAGGGCATCACAGTGTCCTCTAGCTACCAAAAATCATCAATTCCCTCCCTGTATCTTGGTCTCCTTAGGGAATGTCCCAGTTCCAGCCTCCTGTTCCCACAGGGTGAACCCAGTGGGAATTCATCCTGGAGCTGCAGCTCAGAAGGGGCTGGGTCAGGGATCCTGAGAAATTCCTGGTGCAAGGAAGAGATCCCAACCCACCAGGGTGAGCCCAAAGGAGCTCAGACCTGGAATTTCGGAGGGCCGGGATGGAAAGGGGACACAGGAACCCCATGGATGGGACAGGACCCGGCCCTGATCTCTGAACTGCAGATCCCATCTCCTGGGGAGAAGATCCAAGGCTGTGAAGATCCAAGCATCCAAAGATGCTCCCAGCTCATCAGGATGTGAGGCTGAGCCTGGAACTGGAGCCAGGAGGGGATTCCTGCCCTTTTCCAAACCCAAATCCTGCAGGAACAACTTTTCTGCAGCAAACACAGCCTGGCCCCACTCTGGGAAGAGCACAGAGAGCTGGGAGCTCTTCCCAAGCTGCTCCAGCCTTTCCATGACTTTCCCAACCTGGACATGCAGGGAAAGTGGCTCAGAAGGGGCCACGTCCCCTTTGTGCCACCACCAGCCACTGCTCAGGGACCCCTCATGCAGTTCTGGGGAAGGGAACACTTACATTCACTCTGGATATTTGCTGTTATTCCCAAAGGGAAAGCATAGAGGGAAAAAGACAGGAGGTTAATTCAACCTGTTCCAACCCTGTTCCCAGCAGAGCCAGAAAGCAAATCCAGTTGTTTGCAGGCCTTGGAAACCCTACACAAAAAACCCTTTTCCTTATT